TAATTGGCTTCAAAACCATACAAAAACTATTGTCATTCACATAGTACACATTGGCAGGAGAGATTTTTGAAAAAAAAAAGACTTCGTATGTTTTACTAGAAAAAAATATGAAATCCGGTGATTTATGGTAGGGCAGTGTATATTAGTGATATATTACTATTAATGCCTGCATCTCATTATTACTTCCCCAATGAATATATTAAGATTTTTAGTCTCCATCCACCTCTTTGCCTGATTCAATTCGTTGCGATTTCTAAAATATAATAACAAAGACAGGCACGTTCGAGCTGACAAAACAATCCAGCAAGTGGCCCATTTTCAAGTTGCGCCATCCGCAAGCATAAGGGTCAGCAGTGTTTTATCAATATTACTTGGTCCCTTGACACATGTAAAACTTTTGTAAACTCCGCTCAGAGGTTTGAAAATTGGGAAATTTCTGTCAGAAAATGATTTGGGCAATCCGCAAATGACATAAGGGTACTGATTCGAAGGTACTAATTTTTTCGTCAAATGAGGCAGGGTATTTTCGTCGCACAGATTTGTTAAAGAGTACTGATTTTTTTCAAGAATGGGGAAGAGAAGAAGCACAAAAATCAGTTTATACCTTGTCCCCAGAACCATATCTCGACAGTCCAGTTTTTCTCCGAGGTTTTCTCCACTTGTGGGTAATGTCGCCATCACCAGCAATCAGTGCCAATATTGCAGGCCTTTTTGTAAAGATTGCTTCACACATATGAAGTACAACTGTAATATCAACATGGTTATCAACACTCTGATTGTAGAGAATTACATATTGTTGCGGTCGGTGTATTATTTGGGTGGGAGAGCCAATAATCTGTCGCGTAGGTGTGTTCCAAATTTAACTCAGATCGCTACCCTTACTAATAGCGATTGTCTTTACGACTGAATCAATTTATAAGTGACTATATTTAAAGGTGCGCGCTTAACTAACTCCCTAGACGAAGTATAACCTATACTCGTTTCTAAGTAAGGGGTACCTATTACAATACCGTTACAACTACAATATTGCCACGGAATCGAAGGGGAATAATTTGTATTTAATTTAAAACGGGGCGGTCTTCGATTTAGTGTTTTGACTAGTCGGGGTATCTCGTCACTTCTAATTAAAATTATAACTAATTAAACGATAAACGGGAGATTCGATGTCGAATATTAATATTGACTTGCGTGCACTCTTAAAAGGTGTATCTTGCTTCAACGGATATATCGCTAACCG